CTAGTTGAAAGACTGCCTCGCCGCGATCTGCTGATTGTTGCTGGCGATTGGAATGGTCGAACTGGACCTGGCGACCCCACAACCAGTCATCTTCTTGGCCGCTTTGGGCTTGGTTCTCGATGTGAAAATGGTGAGAGATTGCTGAACTTCGCTGATCGAAACCGACTGCTTGTCACCAACACATGCTTCCAGCATCGCAAAAAACATCTGCTGACCTGGTATTCAAACGACGGTCGTACGGCCAGTCAGATTGACTACATACTAGTCAGCTCAAGGTTCCGCAGCTGGGTTCATGATAGCAGATCGATGGGTGGTGCCGAGACTGGTAACGCCCATGGGTCGGATCATGTCCTCGTCCGTACACGCCTGAAAGTTCACCTCTCATCCGCACCAAAAATGCCACGTCCTAGACGCCTCAATGTCGCAAGCCAGTCCGGCAAGCCAGCACTGCCGAGGCCCTAAGCAGAGAAATTCTGACCTGTTTTACGGCCCGAGTCGACGGAGAAGTCAGTAACCAGTGGTCGTCACTGAAGACATCAGTCTATGGGGCAGCTGAGAAAATCCTTGGATACACCCAGCGACGCCGCAGTGACTGGATCAGCGGAAGAACCCTGTAGTTGTCTGCTCAGACGGCTAGAGCCAGGTCCCGCAACGATGACCATTTCCGCCAACTTCGGAAGATGACGGCAAAATCGGCCAGGGATGACCGGAAAAAATATTGGGCTGAAATAGCGACATCCATGGAACAGGCCTCGAACATTGGTGACACTCGAAAGCTCTACCGTCTGATCCGCCAAGTTAGCGGTAAGCCCTCTACACTGAGTGACTCTGTTTGCGATGTGAACGGCGGCTTTATTGCTGACAACTCGGCCAAAGTCGAGCGCTGGCGTGAGCACTTTGAGCACCATCTCAACTTCGATACCCAACCTACATCGCCCTTGTTCTCCTCCTCAGCGGAGTTTCTTCCCTCTCCTACCTATGCAGTGCCATGCGATCCCCCCTCCGAGGAAGAAGTCGCCGATGCCATACGAAAGTTGCGCAACAATAAGGCACCCGGAGAGGACGGTATACCCGCTGAAATCTTTAAGTCTTGTGTCGACACTCTGGCGCCCTGGCTCCATGAGGTGATTAAACGCGCATGGAGAGGCGAAGTTGTTCCTGATGACTGGGGCTTAGGCATCCTTGTACCTATCCTCAAGAAGGGAGATAAGACGAGATGCGAGAACTACCGCGGCATAAGTCTCATCGACGTTGCTGCGAAGATCTTCGCTATTGTCCTACTCGGACGATTCCAGGCTGTGTGTGACTCAAGGACGAGGCCCAACCAAGCCGGATTTCTTGCTGGACGTGTATGCGCAGATAAGATATTCACACTGAGGCGCATTCTCGAATTTCGCCATAGCTACCAACAACCGACGGCCGTCTGCTTCGTTGACTTTGCCGCCGCGTTCGATTCCGTTCACCGTGAGTCCTGTGGCGGATAATGGCGCTAGATGGTGTACCGGCCAAAATCATCGCCATGATCAAGGCCTGCTATCGTTCCACTACTGCGAGAGTCCTGGTCCGTAACAATTTTTCCCAACCGTTCGGTATTCGGTCTGGCGTCCGACAGGGTTGTATACTGTCACCCATACTGTTCAACTACGCTATTGACTGGATCCTCGGTAACGCCCTACGCGACAGTGACGGTGTTGAATTTGCATCCGGACATCGACTGACTGATCTCGACTATACCGATGATATCGCCTTACTTGCTTCAAGTTTTGGTGATCTGCAGTCTATGGTGTCACGAGTGAACGAGGTCGCTAAATCAGTTGATTTATCCATAAACGCTGGGAAGACCAAAGTATTCTCAAGCTGCATTCCTGACCAGGAGAAGGCACCCCTGGGGATTGATGGCTGTCAACTTGAAGAAGTGGACAGTTTTAAATACCTCGGGGCGCGGCTGCTGCCTAATGGACAGAGTAAGGACGACATTGTCTCCCAAATCGATGCTGCCCGCTGGGTTTTTTCAAGCCTTCGGAAATGCCTGTGGAACCGACGTGACCTCTCCATCGCCACTAAGATTCGCGTGTACCGTGCATCTGTCCAGTCTGTCCTTCTCTACGGTTGTGAATGCTGGGCTTTGCGTGTGGCGGATGAGCGAAAACTGGAGGTATTTGACCACCACTGCTTGAGGATCATCCTTCGAGTGAAGTTAACCGACTTCGTCTCAAATGAGATAGTCCGCGCTCGCTGCGACAACATCGCGAGGATAACTCAGGCCATCCAAGAAAGACGACTGAGGTGGTTCGGGCATGTTCTTCGTCGTCCACCTCAGGAGCTCAGTGTTACTACCCTCGATCCGGCACCGTTGCCCAATTGGAGGCGTCGAAGAGGGGGTCAGTTCAAAACCTGGCTCGACACTGTCCGTCAAGACATGGAGGTGGTTCTTGGACCTTCGGTATTCGGTCTCCGTCGTTGGCGAAGGGAATGGGTTGAACTGTCTAGATCTGCGGCCGCGGATCGTCACGCGTGGAGAGGTACAATCCGGGACATCATCGAGGCCGGCTAGATCAGGCATGATCGCAGCCGTATCAAGTACAAGTAAGTACGCTGTCCTCAGACATCCTATATCTACCCTTTATCATCAGATTTTGCCGTTAGGAGTTCAGCCATAGACGCGTGTTCTTCACCCTTGCTGTTGAGTTCTTTTTTGGATATTCCATTGCGGAGATTTGCAGGCCGGTCAACTACTAAGCGGTACGGCTGAACATAACAGTCATTACAGTCATTACAGACATTACAGGATAATAAACGAATTGTTCCGGTGCTCGATTCTTCTTCTTCTTCTTCAAATATGTATACACCTGGAACTCGAAATTTCGCCTTCATTCACATTACAGTCTGTCTGTTGGCTTTTAGTCTGTTTGGAAAAAAACTCAGTGTCTGGAGTCTTTTATCCTAAAACTTCCAGAGGGAATCGAACCGGCCAGCTCTCTTCAAGCTAACAAGTTTGAGAGGTCTGGGTGTGCTGATTCTGACTGTTTGTTTACTCGTCTTCCAAGACGGAAGGCTTTCAGCACTTCAGTTGCCTCAGCGGGTTCCAACATATTATAATTCAGACCTTCGAAGTACGTTTGATCTTCTGAAATCCACTCCTTGGGAGTGTTAGCGTTCGATGTGTAAACTCCCGAATAAAGAGACGTTTCTCCCTGACTACTTCACTCGTATTTTCTGTTGATGTGTCGTTCTCTACAGCGGAGCAGCTGTTCTTTCGCAGTTCTGTCGTTTGATCCCTGATTTGACCGACCTGTCGGAGGCCGTTGACATGGACGGCTGCGAACTATGGTCTGCGGATTCGATGATTGCGCAGATATTGTAAAGGAGTATTCAAATGTTTAATCCCCCCCGCCCATCAAGATGGCTGAACTCGATGGCTAACACCTGGCATCCACTGCAAATCCTGCTTGCATGGGGATCGCCTATACAATCGATGAGACTTTATGAGATGCACCGCGGTCCTAGTGAAGTGGCCGATCGGTCTGCACCGTCCGGCCGGTATACCGGTGATCGGCGGATGAAGTCGATCTTGTGGGGCGTGTTCAAGGGAGAATGGGGGAGGCGGGGAAGTGAAGAATTCTATCATGCTCTTCAAAGTCATGTAGAAAGGAAAATCTACCTAGGTGACGCTTTTCTATGGAGCAAACTTAGGCGTCATCTGCTTAAGTGGAGTTTGCCGAAATACCTCGACAGTGCATAGCCTGGTGGACTTTTTGGCCTCTAACCAGTGCAGTGTGTAATCAGCGCATTACAATCAGGCGGTCAAATCCCGAGGCAGATATCACCAGAGTGAGGGGTTTATTGTGCACAGAATCCGGAGTTCCCCTCTCAGGCGGCAGTGGTTACCGGCGAAGCCACTGCAGATGTTGACTGCCTCTGGTCATGCCGGAGAGTCCATGGGACAGTTGTGGCAGCCGCTTTTGTAGGCTCATGGGCCAAACTCACGTGGTGTCCAGTCAGTGTGTGTTGCATTTGCCGAGGGATGGTGTCCCAATGGCTTAGGCTGTGGTTGCAGGGGGGAGGTGCGTTCAAGTGGCCGCATGGACAGCTGCGGCTGTGCGGACGCAGGTACGCCCGAGCTGACGGTCGTGTGACTTCAGGTCAGCGCGCCTAGAACGGCTCACTCACTGAAAAAGGGTGGTCATGAACAACGATGCCAGACGGGTCATGATGGCTGCCCACTGCAAGATCAGTTATAGGTGGACGCACAGCTTATCTAAACAAGCAAACATAAGGCCGCAAGAGTCTTAATGAAAATCGGTCCAACGGACGCGCCCATAGTCCCCATTGCAGGTAAGCCCTACCGATATTAATGTCCACATATATTCACACTTCAGATATAATAAAAAAATTGGTAGTACGCGCGACACAGAATACAACGTAGAATAAAGTATCATCGGCGCAAACGATGGTGGCGAAGAGTCTCCGCGACACCGTGCTTAACTGTAATAATCAAGCCGTAATCCGCCTGACGCATGAGGATCTTGAAGGACGCCAGACACGGCCGTGATGGCAACATTTCTACCTAACCGTGGTTAAGGGATTGTGACCGAGCTGAGTGGAGATTCAGAAGGCATTTTTCCTCCAAAGATGTCTCAATGTGTCCCTCCATTCAAAAACAAAGCGGACAGTTTATCGACAGTAAAACCGGGGGGTAGTGGAAAGGGCATTCGGCGTGCGCTGCCGTAAAAGGGAAAATCGACAGGAATGAGGCCTCTCTTTGAGATATATTTAAGCGGTATACGGGGTTTTTCAAAATATCTCGAGAGTAGAGGGTCTGTTGGACGTTTTCACCTGTATCAGTAAATTGATAAAGATTAGACTTTAAGCAGCTCGGCAAACAGAGTCAAAAAAATGACTCGGCCTTATGCAGATTTTACTCAGAACGCCAATAAACAGCTTGAGAAAGCATTTTGGACAAAGCAGAGGATGAAAGCCAATGTGGTGTTCTGCAGTTCAATTTTTGTGGAAGGCAGCCGTTATCCGTGGAGAGAATCCATTTGAAAATGTCCCTCGCGCGAATCGGAATTCGAATTTCGCGCCCAGAAAATGATGACCACGATGATTGTAGAATCAGAAGACATTTTTCTTCAAAAACTGTCTTTCTGTGGTCCCTCACATTCAAAAGCACAGTGGAGAGTTTATTGACTGCAAAAACTCGAGTAGCGGGAAGGGCATTCAGCGTGTGCTGCAGTAAGTCCTCTCGTTATTACGATGTAGCCCATTCCACAAGCCGGGCGTCGTGTGCGCCTTTTGAAAATTATGTGAATAAATGGAAGAGCGAGCTGTGTGCTTGCTGCGAGCAGGTTGAATCATCGCTGTTGTGCGGGGTTTCGTAAAGCTACGTCCTTCTGCAAAGGCGACTAACTGTAGGTGTGCTAAGTCATGAAGTGTTAACCGAAATTCAGAAATGTGTTTTCAGCGGTGAAAGATTACTTAAGTATGGTTGTTAAATTAATCACCGCACAACATAATCCCATGATAATTCGGTTACTACAGGATGACGGCTTTCGAAGGAAATTCTTTCTGGCGCCTGCAAAAACTACACTCTGTAAAAAATGACTACTTATGTAGCAGGACTTTTTTCCTATTGATTTTCGATGTCCTTATAAATTCAAATATATTTTAAACCCTGATAGCACCAGCCCTGTCTGGATCCGTCAACTCTCCGGGACCCAAAGGGATTATGCCTCAATTGGGCGGGGCTATGACGGGTCTAGGGACGCCATTTATGACAGATGGACGCTGACCGATCAGGTTGCGGAACGCCCTCGTTCCGTTGTGCCATGGGGCACATACTGGATCCCTCGCAGACAGTCGCATAGCGACTAGATGAGATGGTGTCGACAAAGCCAATGGAACCCGGAATGGCCACTTCTGGCTTATAAGCCGTCATCAGCCAGTCATACCCAACCCCAAGTGCGGATTATTTGAGGTTCGAACCCGGGATCTTTGGTCATTGAGCTTGACAATCAACCATTGAGCCACGGACCCGTTGTCCTGTCGGTTGTGATGGTGAATATCAATTATGACAGACAGTACACCACTCTCTCCGCGAGATTACTCCCCTCCCCGTTTACGATATCGGTTTTTTATCTTCGGGGATCCCCCGTATAATAGGCGGTACTATTCCACACAGCAACGTGGAATATCCAGGTCCCTAAGATTTACTGAATGCAACACAGCCGCGTCTCGCACTGTCGGTAGAGTGGTAGAGGGACGCTCACCGATCGTTCTTACGGAACTCACTCGTTCCGTTGTGCCTTATGGACTCTCTCTCAAGCCCAACCAGCAGCCGCAGGCCGGCGCATGATATAGGCAGTATGTTATTACCGACAAAAGCAAGGGAGCCTGGAATGGCCATTTGTGGCTTATTAGCCGTCGCCAGCCAATCATACCCAACCCCGAAGTGTGGCAAAAATACTCTCACTAACAAGTCCCG